ATTCAGAAGCTCCCCCACCCTCATCTCTTAGTTTCTGGTCCCAGATCCCTGGTGCCGCCTACACGCCCCCCTCTCTGTGGGGCTGCCCTCCCGTCAGCTGTCTCCCCCTCATCCAGGACTCACCCTTCCTCTCTGTGGGGCTCACTTCTCCCCTCCTCATCCATGGGACTCCCCCATGTAGTCCATACCCCCTCATCTGGGGGTGACCTGCATCCCCATCTAGTCCACACCCTTCATCTCTGTGGGGCTCACCTCCCTTCAGCTCTCCCCTCCTCGTCCTTGAGGCTGCCCTGCTCCCCGCATGCAGTCCCACCCCTTCATCTGGGGGTGACCTCCTCCCCTCATCCAAGTCTCACCCCTCTCTCCTGCGTCTGTCCAGGTCTGCTGCTTAAGTTCAGAATGACCAGTTCTGGCAGCTCATCGCAGAGGGCAATTCAGCCTTTTCCCTCCCCTCTGGGTGTCTGAGGTTTCACACCAGTACTGCGTCTGTCTGCCCTCTGCCCCAGAAGTCACCCACTGGGTCCAGATGGGGGCTGCAGAGTAGCCCAGGAAAGTCACCCATGTTTTTCTCTTGAGTGTGTGTCCTCAAAGGTCCCCTCTTCCTGGCTCACAGGAAGAGGAATCTGGGCACCAGCTGACCCCAAGGGATAAGCTCAGCGCCTCCGACTGCTTCTGCCACATCCCATTGTCAAAGAGCAGGTCCTTGTCTTCACTCCTGGAGAGGATTCCAGGACAAGTGAGCTGTTGAGAAGGGGGGGGCGGGGCAGGGCTGCCCTTCCCCTAGTCACCACCCAGCATGCACAGCGAGGAGCACAGCCCACAACCCTCAGGTGCGGAGTTCCTGGAAGGGAGTCATACCCACTGTTGGGCTGAGTTGCTGACTTTCTCTTTTGACCAGCACGGTGGTAACACCAGTGGTTGAGGACCGTGTGGTTTGTACCTGCAAGCCCACCTTCGCCCCCTGCCTGCTGCCAGGATGCCCCTCTGCATGGCCAGGTCTGTGCCCCTGGATGCCTGAGGTCCTGGGGTCTCCTTCCCAATTCCAGCCCCAGGCTAGGCTCGCAGGAAGGCATCGCAGGAAGGCGGGATGCCAAGGGCTGTGGGGGGACACAGGGCCACTCACTCGCTGAGGTCACCAGGCTCACGGGGTGGCCTCCATTCGGGGGCAGAAGGACAGGCCCTGGAGCCTGTCCTCCCCTGGCACACATATCCAGAGTGTGGCGAGAGCCTCATGCTGCTTGTACAGTTTGGGCCATTCAATCATGGAAGGTGTTTCTGGGAACTCACCATAATAAAACGCAAGCCTATCTCTTACTCATCAGTCGAGAGACAGACAGACAGACAGAGGAGTCTAACAGGGGGTCCTGGGTGGAGACTTCACAGTCTGGTATGGTCACATTTATTGTTCTTAAGGTCTGTCTGTTGCATGAAGCTAGCCATTCACCAAAGCTAGACTGGGGAAGCTGGTCTGACCTTCGAGATGCTGACCCCTTGGCAGCAGTGAGTCCCTCCAGGCTGAGCTGGGAGAGGCCTCGTCCTCGCTCAGGCAGACATCCTTGCACGCTCCCGGAACCAGAAGAGTCGGGACTAGAACCCCTCGTTCTCAGTGAGGAGCATCATGAAGCCAAACCAGGAGAACCAGGGGCAGCTGTCCAGCCTGTGGCACACGTCACCCTGCCCCATGCGTCCCCGGCTCACGACACCAGCAGCCTGGCCACCCCTCCCATCATCTGTAGACCACTCTCAAGGACGAGTGAAGACATCAGAACACTGCAGTGGGAGCGAGTGCTGGGGACAGCGTGGTAATGTCATGTCCTGACAGGTGTCTCTCTACAAGCACAGGGCATAGAACAGTAAGTGGTGGAATCACGGCTGGGCAGGCGTCTGAGGTCCCGGACACAACAGCAGGTAGTGGGGTTACTAAAATCCTCAACAGCCCGCCCCCCAGGAGAGCAGCCAACCCAGAGTGGCGTTTGTCTTTAACTAGGTCTGTGAATCATCTGGGAGAGGAGACATACTAGAGTTCCACCTCCTCCCCACGGTTCCCATGGTCCTCTGCAGAGCCTAGCACGTTTGCTTGGGGAATGAGCAGACCACGTACCTCTGACAGACCACTGCTCTTCTCCTGAGTTGATGCTGGGTGCTGTGAAGTTGGAACCGAATCACCGCTGACCCTCCGGTGTGTTTTCAGAGGCTATAAATCCCAGGAGACTGCCCGTCTTTCTCTCATGGAGCATAGAAGGACATCATGCTTGGGAAGGTGAAGGATGGAAAGGAGAGGAAGATCCTCGACCAGGTGGGTTGACACAGTGACTGCAGCAGTGGGCTTGAGTGTGTCCGGGCTTGTGAGGAGGTCACAGGTAGGACAGTGTTCAGATGAGCTGTCACAGTGACCAGCAGTGGGCGTGAGTGTGTCCGGGATTGTGAGGAGGTCACAGGTAGGACAGTGTTCAGATGAGCTGTCACAGTGACCAGCAGTGGGCGTGAGTGTGTCCGGGATTGTGAGGAGGTCACAGGTAGGACAGTGTTCAGATGAGCTGTCACAGTGACCAGCAGTGGGCGTGAGTGTGTCCGGGATTGTGAGGAGGTCACAGGTAGGACAGTGTTCAGATGAGCTGTCACAGTGACCAGCAGTGGGCGTGAGTGTGTCCGGGATTGTGAGGAGGGCACGGGGTATGACAGCCCAGGGTCACTATTAGTCATATTGGACTCGATGGCACCAAACAACAATACAAGGCCCACAGTGACTTAAGCTTTGCCTTCTTTTCCTCCAAGGATCATCCCGGCTGGACTTTCTCCAGACACGTCTGTGTGTTCTTTTGGCAGTCCGTGGGATGTTCAGCACTCTTCTCCAGCACAGCTCAAAGGCCTCCATTATTCTGGCATCTAGCTCATGTGCACGACAGGTGATCAGAAAGACACATGTGCCCGAATCAGGCACATCTTTTTTCCTTCTCACAGTTTTATAACTTTATTTGATAATCGGCTATTAGTTTGCATCCATGTTGGCAGTCTGTAGATTTTTTTAAAGTGGTGTCAGGTACAGAGATAACCAGCTTATACAGCTTATTTGAGGAACCTTCATCCCCTGCGTTGTCTGGACAGCTGTATTTGGATGTGGTGTGTAACATTCCTTATTATTTTGGCCCCGACAGCTGTCAGTGCACACATCTGCTGTTCTCAGCTTCATGGCAAATTTCCAGATCTCTGTGAGTGCCTGAGGGACACGCCTCTTAAATCCCCCCTCCACAGATGCACTTGTGAATGTGGCTGGTGTCCTCTCCAGTCACCACTTCTATGATGACAGAATGGCCTTTCTTCTCACCACCCTTCTTTGTGGGGTCAAAGCACTGGGACCAGGCTCAATCAGGCACAACTTTTTTTCTCCTTTTTTTTTTAAAAAAAAAATTATTAATAAAAATTTACAGAGACTTTGGATTTCCATTCATTCATTGTTGCACTTTTCTCCCCCCGACCCAGTTTGTTCTTCTCTGTGAAAAGTAAAAGAAAAATGCTTTCATTGTTATACAATCCCTCCCCCCCCCAAGTCCACTCCACTGTGCAGCCTTCGTTCTGGTCTCCTGTCATGACAATAATACCTAATCATATATCCCTTTTAAACAGTTCTCTGCCTTATCTGTTTCAATGCAGTGTATATATCTAATTTATCCCATCTTTCTCAGTCTCTCCCCAACCCCTATGTCAGTCCCATTTTACAACAGTGGCACTATGCAGTGTTTGTCCTTTTGTGACAGATATTTCACTCAGCATAATGTCCTCCAGGGTCACCTATTTTGCATAATATTTCATGAGTTCCTTGTTTTTCAATGCCGCATAATATTCCATTGTATGATTATACTACAGCTTCTCTATCCATTCGTTTATTGATGGGCACTTGGGTTGTTTCCAACTCTTTGCTATTGTGAACAAAGCTGCAATAAATATGGGTGTGCATATATCTGCCTAGGTGGCAGTTATGGTCTCTTTAGGGTATATTCCCAGTAGTGGAATTGCTGGGTCAAATGCTATTTCTATTAGCAACTCTTTGAGAAAGCGTGACTCAGGAACATCTTAATCCTCAAACTGACATCCTTGCTCCTCAGTAATTTGGAGAGGTCCCTGACCGCAGACTTTCCCAGTGCAGTGCGTCTCCTGATCTCCCGACTGCTGGTTCCAAGTATCCTGATGTGGATCCAGGGAGGATGAAGCCGACAGCCTGCGCTTTTCCTCCGTGTATCACGATGCTCCCTGTTAGTCCGGCGGTGAGGGCTTTTGTTCTCTTGATGTGGAGATGTAGCTGGTGAAGGTCGTAGTCTGATCGTCTGCAGCAGGTGACTGCTTGGAGTTCTCCTCAGGACTTGGGGAACTCTTCTTGTATCCTGAATTCAGTTCAGGACCCTCCAGGACCTGCTATATTCCGCTAAAAGACTCCAGAGCGTCCCCATCACTGCTGCCCCTCCCCACCCCCAGTCAGTCAGTCCCACTGGGCCGCACTGTCCCTTCCCCCAAAGGCCCCCTGCAGCCACCTCCTGTGTCCCTCTGGACACTGTCCAGCCACAGTCATCAGGGCTCCACATGGGGCGGGTTTGACAGAGGAGTCTGCACACACCGATCACAGGCGAGCCAGACAAAGACTTTTAATTAGTTTGGAAGCAGAACTTTGTCATCTCACCCAAGCTCACTTGTCACTCTGGCAGTCCAGGGCCACAGCACTTGGCACCCAAGGCGAGGGACGCCTTCCCTCCACTCCCACCCAGTGGCTGGAATTGCAGATTCCCACCCACAGGATCACGAGTGCAAACACCTACACGCGCGCAGAAAAGAGGAAGAGACCCAACCCAGGAAGGCGAGTGAAGACCAGGCCCAGACACTGAGAGTCCTGCTGCCTCTGGCCGAGCCCAGAGCCCCTGCCCGGTGCTGGGTCACCCTCCCAGCGGAGGCCACCGTGGCACGTGCCCCGAGCAGAGTGGAGCATGGTCACAACCCCAAGGTCCCTCGAGTCACGGTCTCTGCTTGCAGTCGGCGTTGCCGTAGGTTGAGCCCTTGTCGATCTCGGTTACGCTGATCATCCATCGCACGCCCACGGACGCTGTGGATGGAAAGACGGTCGTTAGGGATGCTGCACCTGCGGGGGGCCTGACCCCGGTGCCAGTGGGGTGCTGGCTCCACGGTGCACCTCCCCACCCAGGGACAGCATGCTGACAAATGCCCAGCAGCCCCTGAAACCGAGGGGGCTCCAGGCAGCGGGGAGAGGGCCAGCCACGGAGGAGGAAGGCTGAGGGGCAGCACTGCCAGGCTGGGAGCCAGGAAGCAGGTCTGCCTGGCCGTACCCAAGGTGGGTATGTAGGTGGGTGGGGTGGGGCGAGTAGAAGCTTCCGGCCCCCCATAGGTGGGTACGGTGTTAGCTTGTGGTCTGGGCTGCTGAGCTGGGCTGAGAAAGTGGGGAAATAGGATTCTCTCTGAGAAAGTGGGGAAATAGGATTTCTCTCTGAGAAAGTGGGGAAATAGGATTCCACGCCTCACACCTTGTCAGGGTAGGAAGATATCTCACAGGGATGTTAACTCAGAGCCACTGGAGCCCTGGACTTGGGGTATCAAGAGAGTCTTGTCCCCTGGGTCAAGGGCTCAGGACCCGGCCTCAGTCCACGCTTGCAGATCTGTCTCTGAGGTCTCCGCTGGCCATTGTGCCCAGGCCACCTCCCTGGAGTGCCATTCTATGATGGGTGGTGTGGTGTGGTGTGGTGTGGCTTGGGGGCTTTCTTTACTCCACCCCGCCCCCAGGGGTGACTTTTGTTTTAATAGCTGTTTGCTTTGAATCTGGCATTTTTAACACGGAAACAGACCACAGCAGGGCCCACTGTAGGGACTGGGCAGCACCAGGCTGCCTGCTGTTGGCGCTCAGCTCCAAGCAGCTACCTTGACCCAGGAGGCGGGGCTTCGTGTGGGTCACGTCTAGGAGCCCACAGGTTATTCAGTACTTCTCAGGCGGTCACTACGAGCCATGGTTGACTAAGTGGCACTCACAACAGCAGAACCAGAAATGAGACCAGAAATGCAGTCACCAAATTTCTTACTGGTTCTCTCTTGGGAGAAATCAGAAAATAAATCAAGGGAGGATTTTTTTATCCTGTGACAAATCTTAGATATTTCCACACTGAATCTTTCTATGCTAAACATAATGATTTCCATTTTGCAAAAATAACTGAGCCAGGGAGCTCTGGTGGTCTAGTGGCAAGAAGTTGCACTGCAACACTGAAGGTGCGTGGTTCAAATCCACCAGATGCTCTGCTGGAGAAGGAGGGGCAAATTTTCTCCTGTGCCAGTCAGATCCGATTCGACGGCACACAATAAGAAAATAAGTAAATAAAATCTTTTTTTAAAAAATTTCAAAAGAGTCCACAATTAAGGTTGCATAGTGGAATGTACCTGGGGTGGTGGGAGGGGTGCAGGGGTGTTGTGTACCAGGGAGGGAGTGTTTCTTTTACTTTTTAAAGAGAGGAGCGAACTGGGGTGGGGGGGAGG